ATCTGGAGTGTGGACACAGGCCTTGGGGCTAGGCCTGTGTTATCTCAACCATCTCGAGGTCTCTCCGCTGTTGCCATGTGGTAGTTCCTGACAGTAGCGGAAGAGTTTTATCATCTTGCTTGGTGTGTTATGTTCTTATACTATGCTCTTGTGTTCCTGTTTAAATCTGTTTGCTAGAGTTAATAATAAAGCTTAAAATCTCCTTACCTACTGGTATGTTCATTGTCTCTGGATCGAAAAGAACAAAAAGAATCACTTGTCTTGCACGTGGCCAGCGCCTTGACAAATGGCAAAACATCAGGTAATGAAACATCAGCAAGAAAACAACCAAGCTCAGAGAACCCCAAGGACTCTCCGGTTCAACCCTGAGCTATGTATCCATATTCTCTTCTATTAGTGCAAGACCTTTTAGAGGGAGGCCAAGCTTGTATGCCACTTTACAAACTTTAAGAGTTTTATTTGGTATAAGGACTAACCATCAAAGACTTATTTACATGGCTACATCAACTTGCAAAGCCTAGGAAGGTGGATTTAACCCTGGGCAACAGGAAAGGTGTGTGCTACAATAAAGAATTTTGTACAGTTATCTTCTACGTTGTGGTGTGTGCAGTCCTTGGAAAACAAAGAACCCTTACAATATGCAAGATTTTTATGATACGCTAAAGACATTAAATGTTTGTCTCCTTTAGAAATGCTTCAGGGCTACACATTTTCCTCAAAAATCTTGGGAGCAATCTCTACATCCCTCCTAATGTTTTTTTCAAGTTTACTTTTTATTGTAAAGAAGGAGGGAAGTATAAATAAGAACTTTGGTCCTGCTTCTAGCCACTTCTTATTTTAGTCCCACATACAACTTGGAGTGCAGACTTCAACATCTTACTCTCAGGTCAAATGTAGCTTTTGCACAAAAATAGGTGGACATTCCTATTCTAGGTAGATCAAGATAAAGATGTTGAGCTCAACTTCTACTCCATACACTTTTCTTGATCAACAGCATGGAAGGTTTTTTTTTGGGGGGGGGTGTTTTATTATTCAAGCGTGCAGCCCTGTAATTTCCTGGTGGTCTCCCATCCAAGTTCTAACCAGCTAAGTCTATCCCAGTTTAAGTTTTTAAGACTTGCCAAGATCAGCTAGTTGGCTTGCATTCTTATCTGGATTATGCACACTCTAATCTGCATAGCATAATAATGGGGAGTTTAATCTAAATGCCCCAAAAGTGAAAAGCTTAGGTTTAAAGTCATCTATATTTAACAGAGACTCAGTTGTTTGTTACTCAGAGATATAGCCTGCCTTTTGTCCTTAAGTCAGATACATAACATTCCATCCACCCATTTCCCCCCCCCCACCCCGACAAAGCCCTCCCAAGTAGGTTTGACTGAGAGAGAGTTACTGGTCCCAGGTCACCATGCGCTTCCATGGCTGAAGCTGGACTTGATCCTGCATCTCTCAATGCCAGTCCAGCACCTTAACCACTACACCACTCTGGCTCTCAATTGATCATTCAGACAATGTTAACTGTGTGACAGCAAAAGAGACAGCATATGAATTACCTATCATCCAATGACATTTCCAATTAGAATTCAACATGTAGATGACTTTGCTTGTGCATATATGTTACTGAAAGCTGATTACAAGTCATGATATAAGAGGCACAATTATTAATGCAGTATCGGTATTAGCATCTTCCACTCCGCTATCTGAAAAGCAAGTAAGAGGAAAGCATTTAATTAGGAAGCTTTCAGTATTAATCCTCTAGTTTAATAGGCTTTTCTAGCTGATAACAAAACTGATTATGTGCTGGCAAAGAACGGCCTGAATCTTGCCTTGTTTTCCCCTTCCATTGACAAGCAGGGTATAAAGATCGGGAAGGGAGTTGTATATTAATTATTTTTAAAACAGTCTCTGTCAGTCAAACTGATCTAACCATAAGTCACACCCTTTTGCTCCCACACAACTTTCTGTGCTATCTAAATATTTTCTGCAGGATGAAAAGAATCACATGGTGCCATGATGAGAATATTTTGCATCTTACGTGGATCCTAAAATGTGAGCCTTGCCTTGTTCAAACAAAGCAAAGCCAATTCAGAAAGAATCAGCTCCATCTAGGGATGATTATTTACACATTGCCCAGAAAGAAAGGAAAGGAAAATATTGATGTTGTGAAATAGAACTAAAGGGAGATTTTTTTTTTTCTTGCTGAAATACCAGGTTTCTTGGACTCTGTACTCAGACTTTATGCTACCAGCATTCCCAGCTATTTAGGAAACACCACAGACTGAAATCCATTGGCAAACCTCCTGATAACCCCATTTTAGCTATCATGGATGTTGAAATACTATGCACCATCATTCTCCACAAACATGGATTTCAAGCTTTTAGGAGCATCACCATTGATGCCAAAACAGCATCCCTTGATGCCAGACTGTGTGACTTTGCACTCACTCATAACTGTTTCACCTTTAGCAACATCATATACCTGTAAATCAGTGGCACATTAATGGGCACATGCTTTACAATATGCCAACATCTTCATGACTGACCTAGAACAACACTTAACTCTTACCCCCTGAAACCATCAACTACCACAGTTCCCCTCCTACGGTGTTTAAATGTGCAGTATGATGAATCATGTTCAGTTCTGAAATTATAAATGGGAAAGGATTATTTGGGTGAAAAGCTACAATGATTCTGGATTCTTTTCTTTGAAGACTGAAGGGAAGGCCTTAGCTCCCCATGAACCCCAAAATAAGCCCAGCCCCATCCTCCTGCAAGATCTGTAACTTTAACTTTCACTGATGGAATCATTGCAATTTTAAGTTGATCTGCCTTAGGGAGGGCCAGCTGACCACCCATTCCTGGTGATGGAATCATATGCAAGTTTTTTCTCAGTTCCAGAGAATGGGATTAAAACAAAACTATCTATTTCAATCTATCCATTGATACAACAGGAAAGAAAAGAAATAATCTAAAGTTTCTGAATGGCATGAGGTTGGGAAAGCCGGATCTGCAAGTAATTCCAGGACTGGAATAATAGCATAAAGACTAGCAAAGGTCACAGGAATGAACTGGATTTTTAGAACCTTTATTCTCTGACAGTTTCCACGAGTCCTCCAATTATGCTGAAAGTGAGCGGCACTTGGACGAGCTGATTTTCATACCTCAGGTGAATTACTCACCTCCAGTATTCAGATTCAAGCCAGGAGCTCCCCAGAGGTTGCAAACCTTGTGGACATGCATGATAAGTGGTCAAACTCTTGGTCTGAAATCCTCAAACCTTGATTGCAAAGCCTCCCTTGTTTCCTGATTTTTCATTTTGCTACTGGCAAAATTAAATTGTCGGAGCCTGGTGAGACTAAATCAATTCATGCTTATTAAATAGTTGTAAGGCAGCATCTGTATATGAGGCATGGTGTTGTTATTCATGTTGTGTGCATCTGGGGAGGGGGCTATGATTTCTTCATGGTCAATGAGGTGATGTATCTGCTGAGTCTGCATAAATTTCAAGGCATGCTTGAAGTCTAAGTCATTTGCAGACCAAGGCAAAACTTCCTCACATTGTGATGTTAATTTAGAGGGAAGAAAAGAGCTGATGCTTGGGAAAGGAAGGAACTTGAAATGGCTAATTTGCAGGATACCTTGGAGACCCATGACCAACATCATCTCCTTGTTTCTGCTGTTCCTCTCCTGGCTTTACTGCCATTGCCACTGGCTGCACTGTGGTCTTTTCCTTCCTACTCAATTGACCAACACCAATTTATAGGAGAGAGGTGGGCTTCTCTTCCATTACATGGGGGTGGGGAGCATGAACATGACAGGAGAAAAGGATTGTTTATGACCTGTTCCAGGCTGGTGCCAATGCTGCTAATTCTAGCTCCAGCAAGCAGAGAAGCTGCCAGACCCTCAAGAAAGCCCAAGTGAATGTATGGAGAGGGTACTTGCTATAGTGGTTACACCCTGCAGTGAGTTAGAAACTGCTTTAACAGCATATGAGCCCCCTTTCAAGTTTCAAGAGTGGGAGGGAAAGGGTCAGAGAATTTTTAGGGATCATGACCTTCCCTAGCTCCAATCTGCTTTTGGAAACAATGGAATGTACATTTGGGTTGGGGGAATTTTATGATGATCTTGTCGATCGTCTTAGTGAAGCAGAGACCCTTTTTTGTTTTTTAAAAATGTTGCTTTACTGTAACTGGTTTTGCTTTCCTCCTTCCACTCTGTCCTCCACAATCCTTGAGCCCCACCAGATATCCTCTGAAGCAGATTTTTAGATACATGAAGGGAATTGTAGTAAGGAGGAGGAATGTGTTCTACAAACCGACCTGGTTGTATTGGGGGAAGAAGCTAAATTGATGCTCCTTTCATTTTTAGTGCTGAATAAAAATGCTATCCTACATTTTTATAGTCCCATTTGCTTGCCGTGAAAAAGGAGGGCATTTTAGCTATTTTCAAAAGCAAGAGGTGAATTTATCGTCTTTGCCATGGGCAAACATAATTGCATTGCTTTTAGACTGTGTTAAAGAATTAGGCTGTGTTAAACATAGCTGCTGTGTTAAATATACTACTACATACTCATAGCTCCAATACAGGCATCCAATGTTATATGTAAGTCTGCATCAGGAATTTTTTATCATCGTGAACATGCCCACCCTAAATGTTTCATGAGAAAGAGGTTATAAGGGGCAGAGGATTCTGTATGGAAAAACACATTTCCTAGAAAATGATTGGACAGATTATGACGTGTAAAGAGTGAAAACAAATCTGCACAGGTTGTAATTTTTCACAATTCCAAACTTTTAAATCCTGGAGAGTTTGCTTTGTATCGACAAGGAGGTACTGCATGGTATTCCAATTTTAAGAGCTGCACTGAAACAAAAAGGGTTGTAGATGTTTCCAGATTTTTTTTTTTTTTGGTCTGATTTGTAGAACTGTTATAATTTTTAAATGAGGAGACAAAAGAGAGAGAGAAAAAGGAATCATCAGCTATTTTTTCTCCTTTCCAGATAACTTTGTATGAAAAAATAATAATATTTAAATGATTACTATAATCTTCATTTCTTTATCAGAAGAATGAGATGCCAGACAGGTCATGTTCTCAGAAGTGCTTCTAAAGATATGACCAAAACTGGGAGAGTGATTAAAATTCACCTAAGTATGATCACAGATTCAGTTGCAGCTTCAGGTTTACTCAGTAGTTGTCCAAACAAGTTTGGTAAGATAGCAAAACAGTAAGTAGTGAAAAGGCTCCTGTTGGGACATTTGTCTCCCACCCATCCTCTCCCCACACATAGACATATTGATAGAAGTGGGCAATATTCCCTCACTTTACCTGCAGGAGGACAATGTGTTTTGATGGGAGGCCAGCACAGCATCAGGACTTGGCATGGGTAGAAGATTACAGAGATGGCCTTGAAAAAGAAAATGAACTAGTATGTAAACATCAGCCTGGATAGACAGGAAGAGGTGAGGAAACAACTCAAGATCACCCCACCTTGATTCTCTTTAGTGTAAGAGGGGAGAGAGAGAGAGAATCTCTGCCAGGCTTTCACGTTTCTGTTATTATACCCTATAATAATAAAGGAGAGTTCCAGTAGTTCATGTAGTGCTGTTTCCTGACCTGGTCTACCTTGAAGGGCTTACATCATGATGTCCCCCAAGAAAAAGCATGAGAAGGGACACCCTTGAAAGAGGTAAAATATGAACCTAGGCAATAGCATTTCATTCCTGGCCAGGGCACATTGGGGCTCTTGCAGGAGCTGTTCCTGGAAGCATAAAGTTCCATTTTCTGGCCTGGAAAATGAGTTCAGGCAAAGCAAGAGCCCTATCAGAACACAGTCTGACAATTTTATTCATGGGGGGGGGGAGAAATATCATACAAATTCATTTATTATTTTAGGGAGAGCAGCACCAGAAAGCTTGAGATCCCCTGCTGTAACCCATAAACCGACCACAGCAGCTAGAATCACAAATCTTCTTAAGCCAAAGACATCCAAAGCACTTTATAGCTTAGCATAGTATATGACATATCTTCTTCCCATTCACTGGGGGAGGCAAAGTCATTTAGTAGGCCCAGAAATGGAGGGATATTTGGTAGAGGCAGAGCATGCATCATACTTCAACAGAATGGGGAAAGTAGCATCAGTTTTATGTTATGATACACATCTGCATAAAGAAGGTGATTGATAAGTAACTGTCTGGCTGGTAGATCTTTCTTAACAATTAGAATAAAGGATCAGGAGGTAGAGAAAAGAGCCGTCAATTCTTTGTTTGTTTGTTTGTTTATTTATCAAATTTGTCACCACCCATCTCATGAAATGACTCTTGGCGGTTTACAAGAAGATAAAAATTCATTAAAATACAACATAACAACAATCCTAAAAATAAATAAATTCCAAGAAGATAGAAAATTGACAAGTAATTCCAGGGAGCATCATCAGGGAGCTAACCACCCCCAGGGACAGGTAAAGCCCATATCACCCCATGCACACTGACAGAGCCAGGTCTTTAAACCTTTTTGGAAAGCCAGGGGGGGGGGGGCCTGCCACACCTCTGGGGGGAGAATATTCCAAAGGGTGGGGGCAATGGCAGAGAA